AGCGTTGGGAATGGCCGAGCAACAGGCGATAATCCTCGGAAGAATCTGAGCTAGATGGAGCGCACATCTTAGAGCCAATTTAACTCACCTCAACAACAATTCGCTTCGATGAACGATTACAATGATCGTCTTCACAAGAAGAACGTGGAGTGATTGAAGTCAGAACACCTTCAAATGAAAGAACTTCAGAATGCCAGTAATCGTCTCAGAGGCGAGCAAAAGGAATTGCGTGGAGTAGGAGGACCTGAGTGAGAGGTGTGACGAGCTGTTGAAGGAGCAACAAGGGGAGAGTGCTAAGTTTGGAGGAAACGCTGCTCCTCCTCCCAAACTCGTGATCAGCTTAGAGAAGATGATGAAATTCTGTGGAGATTCGGCCACCGAAGTGTCTACAGAGGCGCAGCAGTTGATTGCGAAACACATCAAGACTCGCGAGGTGATTCAGGGAAGACAAATCATTCTTCTAATGTTGGAGAGCTTCCGCGCCTATGTCCTGTTGGACCTGGTATTTGGAGTTGAACATCTCTATAAGCTTTCCTATCCTGTTGACAAGAAGATGGGAGAATTCAAGCAGAAGTGGCTGGATATCATCGCTGGAATCAAACCCGAACCTGTACCGCATGAGGGACACTTTGGAAGGTTGTACGAACACAAGGACCGTGCAGAACACACAAGAGCCTGCTGAACATGATCAATCGCCGGAGTAAGGAGCAAAAGAACTGGGAGAGTAAAGAGCGATTGTGGAAGGACAACAGATTGGGGCCGGCCCTTCCGGGGCGACGGCTAAGGCAAAGGCTGAAGCCAAAGCCAAGGCAGCTGACTCAGCTCCAGTGCTTCCGGACAAGAGGGGACGACCTAAGTGTAAGGCAACGCCTAACTCAAAGGGCTCCACTACTCAGAGCGCAACCCTCTATTGGGAAGAAGAGTACTCCCTGCAAATTTCACTTCTTCCGTGGGAAACGCACGAAGGGAGCAGAATGTTGTTAAAGGCGCCAGAAGAGCCCTGCACAGAGTGGAAGAAGAAGAATGAGCACCAGCTGGTCACCAGCGTCAGGCCCCGACAAGACCTTCGATGGAGTATGATCGATCGGGGAGAGAGGAGCCTGTAAAACTGTAGGGTCAAACACATGGTGTGCGCGAAACGTATCATGGATGATCAGCGCAAACAACAACTGTACTGTAACGGGTTGACTTCCACAAACAAAATGGAAAGAAAGTGAAGTTCCCAAAGGAACTTGTTTCGACGTATGTGTGTCTTGTCACGAACCCCTCAGGGATCGCCCAACCTTGCGCCGAGATCTTAAAGAAGCATTTCGCCAAGGTGAAGGGGATAGGCAAATGAAATTGAGGACGGTCACCAAAGGGAAGTACAATTATGACGTCTCCCTCAAAGCGCGTAGGACCCACCAAGATACCATTATCATTGCGGGCCACGCATGCGCTGGACCATTTTTTGGAACCTGCTTTGTGCTTCCGCAGATGCCATGTACGAGTGTCAAGGGCGATCAAGAAACCCACGTACTTCTTCACGAACGAAACGCAGTACTTGGTGTAGACCGCAGGGGCGTCCAGTGGCCAACTCCCATCCTCAGTGGGAGATTGGTCTTTTTTCGAACGTTGCTTTCGGGATGGCGTCCGAGATTGGCACGCTCCCTCCAGGTTCATCGGCTATGCTCTGCAGTGCTCGACGTGTCTTTAAACCAATGGCACACAAAGCTATGTTAATAGGTGGTTTGTTGCTCTGGCCTGAGATGACAGAACAAGTAATTCAACGACATCATCTATACACTTGCTGCCACGACACATCTGGAAATCATGCATGCAGAACTCTGTGAGCCGGCGGCAAAAAGAAGGTGAGTAAACCTCAATTCCTGTGGTTTCCCTTCCTGCACAAGGAGGCATGCGAATGAGGACCGCGCTACGATTGCACCCCTGAAGTTCATCAAGCTGGACGTGACGGATGAGGAGAGGGAGGTAGTCAAGAGGGGGCGAGTCAAAATGCATGAGCTGCGCAATTGCAAGCAGAACCTTGAGATGTTCTACTGCGGGTATTTCGACGTCCTTGAGGCCAGGAATGATGCGGGATTTGGGCGAGAAAGCAACAGAACAAGCTGGTGGAGACAGAGAGTGGCAATCTCCAGAGGGGGAAATTTTGTTCTGATGCTTGGCTTTCCTGTCTACTACACATCGGTGGCGGGAAATATAATACCGTCAAGGACTGTCTCAACCATGGAGCAAATTGGTCGCTGCAAAGCGCAATTGGTTTGAGGGGTGTACGACACCCCGAGCGAACAAGGCTGCGATGATGGTCGGTGAAGTTGTATGTACAGCAATGCCTTGGTTCAATGGATGACAACATGGTCGAACAAGGGTGAATCCTATTCCATCTGGGCAGGCATGGATAGCTGCTTCTCCTGGTGAACTCCATCCAGCACAAGGCGTCGAGACCAATCATAGTGACGATCCATGCGACAGCAGACATGTTTGCACTGAAGGGCTACGCGGGGAACCTCACAGCGGGCATTGAAGCCCCAGCCATCATTTTCCGGTCGCCAGCTTTTAATGTTGGAACGCAAAGACACCGTCATTCAACCCGAACCTGCTGAGACTCCGCCCGCCGAAGGTCAAGAAGGCTGCGACCCCCCAAACCTGAAATGGAACCCCTCCATATTTCGAGGACTTTCGGCCCCTATACTCCTGAGCAAAGGAAAGGGATGAGGCTCCCAGTTCAGAGCGTTTCAGGGTCGGGCCACCAAAAAGCAAGTGGAAAGTGCAAGGCAAAGGGGGAGTTGACAAAAACGGTGCTTCGAAAGGAAAAAAGCCACGGCGAAGGGACGTTCGCGACTGTGAAGAAGTGAGCGATCGCGATCAATAGTGGCAAGAGGAATCCATGTCGAAATCCGCGAAGATGGTAGGTACGGGTCTCCGACCTGCTGGAGCTGATCTACAAATTACAACAAAGCATCTGCGTGGATTGCTGGTACAATGTCTCTTACTTATCGGTCTACACGGCTCTCCGGTAGATTAGATGGCAAGATGCATATCTGCATATTCCCTTCGAATTCATATACCCTGTGCAAGCGGCACAATGGAGACACAAAATGCAAAACACATATTTGCAAATCAGTATCAACTCACTTCAAAAGAGACCTTAAAGGGGGCTTATGCTAAGGTGCCGATACTTGTTGGTGACACAGGCGGAGGATCAGGCCAGCCGGGTCTCTTCACTGAGCAGCCGTTTGCGCGATCTACTTGGGCATATTGCTCTTGCTTTGATGATGTTTCAATGCAAACGGGAAGTTGTACAGCTCGCTGGAACTTCTTCCCACAACCTCAGGACTCCTGGAAGACCCGGTCAATTTCTTCCAACATGCGTCTCCAGCCGTTAACGCGGCAAACGAATCAAGGATTCGTTGTCGCGCATCAACCGAGAGCGATGCAAAATTGGAGCCACAATGTGGGATTTTGGAAGGGAGTGCGCACTAATGGTGGCAACTTTGTTTCGGCCTCTGCGGAAAATTGAATGAACATCATGTGCGTGGGAAGGGGGGGTGTGAATAGTGTTGCAGTCTCATGGCCATATCACATACCGTGACATTGGCTCAAAAGAGTAATCCCGTGGTTCACCCAATAATGGGAGTAACAACTGGAAATACTCCAGCTCACGGGGCGTGCGGTATCATTTCAGGGTGCTTTGCAAACGTTCCGCGGGGTGGTGCAGCAGCCAAGCCATGAAATTTGACAAGTAAATGCGTCGCAACCAGATTGGGCGCCTGCTGCTCTGTCAAGCCAGAGTAGCTGCATTTGTCGTAGCAGTTTTCTTTTCCTTCCTGTGACACTGTTTGGCATCAGAACTGAGTTTGAAAAATGGAAACCTGCCCCTTACGAGGCGAGACGAACCAATTGAAGCCCAAGGACAATGCAGTTTCACTGGTTTACAAGTGGTAGATCGCAACACTTTAAATATAAGTTGTATCTGAGTTAGATGTTTAGCAATTAAGAAGAATATGTTGAATTAGACTTTAGCTAGGTTTTCCTTTCCAAGTAGGATTTAACATGGACTTAACTAGAATCGAAAAAAGGACAGAGAAGCTGATTTGGGAGCGACTGAATCGGACTGAGCCGAACAAAAACACCAAGGAACAATACAGATGTCATTCCATTTTGTTTGCAAGGTTTGCATTGCGAGGCTTCAGTTTTACATGTAAATTTGGTTTCGGTTAGGGTTCAATTCGTTTTTGACTTAGCTCTTCCCTGCCAAGTGAGACTGCGATTGGAAGTTCATCGCAGAGTTGAATTTGATTCAGCTGTTAAAAAATGGGATCTTGTCCAAATATTAATTCCTTTCCAAATAGGGTTTTGGTTGGATTTGAAGTAGAGCCTAGTCAGGATTTCATCATCATGCACATAACTGAAATTTTAGCAAGGAACCGCAAGCTGGTTGTTTCCTGTAATGAATTCTGCTCTTCTTGTCTTATCGTGCGTATCTGAGTTTTTGATTTCATCTTAGTTTTATTCTAGATAGAACCTGGTAAGGAAAGACATGCTGGCTGTTCCTTCTAGATAAAGTAAATAGAAATTGGCTGCGGTTGGCGGATGAGATGCCCAGGCTGCGATGGCAGACGTTCCCTTCTTCCAAGAATGTTTCTTCTTGCCCAACAAAAAGTGCAAGAAACCTCGAGAACTCTCTTTTTTGGTGTGTGTGTGTGTTGGACAGCTTGCCATCATATCAGAAACCAAAACGAAGAAGCAAGCCCCACGACCTTGGTGTTCTCTTTTTGTTTTTTGGGGAGGTCTTTCTTGCGCGGCCCACTGCGCAAAAAACCACGCCCGCGAGGTGCCCTCTGCAACAGGAATGAACAGAAGCAACCAGGCACCCGGCTGAAACGTGACAAGCCACGAGAGTTATAAGCGCCTGCAAACTGTCTTGCGTGGTGACCGCGCCACCTCAAGGGGGTGCTTGACAAGATTTCTCAAGCTGTGCCAGCGCTGCCGTTGCCAAGGAAAGCTTCGGTCTCCGAAGCAATCAGTGCCTACAGCAATGTCACGGTAGAATCCCTGCCGTTGAGCTCTGAGTACAGGGCCCAGGCGAAGCGCGGACATCATTTTTTTCGCCGTTTGGTTTGCTTCATCAACGCCGGCTTTTGTTGAGCATTTGACGGCGTTTGCTTTACTGGGAGGCTGCTCGTAAGGCTGCCCTTCGTGCGAGGGCAGCGATGCACGAAAGTGTGCTTTGATCACTGCAATTGGCAAGACTTGTGCAGCGCTTGGGCATCGATGCATGGGCATTGCGCCTAAGCCAACACGCAATCAAGAGTCAGTCGTGCAGTGGCAAGAGTCACAGCTGACGTCGTCGAACTCTTCAGCATGTTTTGCTGGCTCGGAAATTTGTAGCCCTTTCCCGAACGAACAATCGCCCCCTCCCCCTCCCCCCTAAAAAAGACCTCGGAAGGCTTGTGCTATTTGGGTAACATTGGAAGGGCGGTCCCTTTGATTTGCTCCAAAAAGCGTTCAGAATTCAACTTTTAAGTAAGAACTTTCAAATGGAAGCCGCCCCTGCCTTTCCAGTAAATTTAGCAATAGAAACCGCTCGCGCAAGGTTTGCAAGACAACACACTCTCATAGTAAAACTTGTTAGTACGACCCTGTGAAGGAAACCTAATGAAGACCCTAATAGTATAAGGGAAGCTAATCCAGCACCTCCCCCAATTACTGGCCAGAACAAGAAAGCTGTAATCAGAACAACTACTGCGTATCATGTTGTTTGCAGGATGTTTGCAGGATGCCCATAGTCTAACTACTGCTAGGGGTGGCAGCAAGTGCAGCAAGCGCCTCGCAGCGTGTCACCCGCGTGTCACTGCGTGTCACCTGCGCGTCGCCCCTGTGTCGCCCCGTGTCACCTGCGTGTCACCTCGTGTCGCCCGTGTCAGTATAACAACAGTGGTTTTAGGGTGTCACCCCGTGTCGCCTGCGTGTCACTTGCGTGTGGGGTGGGCTTGGGGCGGGGTAGGGATAGGCTTGTTGTTGCTGTTTGGGAAAGAACGTGAAACAACTGTAGATCGGGATTCTTCTGTCTTTTGTGGACGGTAGCCATGAAGATAGAATGAAAGCAGTAGTCGGAGGGTGCTGGACGGAGAAACTAATGCTAAAAGCCTCTCACGCAAGGCAACCCTTCTTGGTTTGAGAGAAGAACCGTTCAGAGTCCGACTTTTGAGCAAGACGTTTTGTAGAAAAACTACTGGAGACCCTAACTATTGACCATTGCTAGGGTGGGCCCTAAGAAGCACATCTGGGAGCTTGGCGGATTCATTTGGTTTCTGGAAAGTTTAGTCTTGGCTTAGTGTTGGGCATTTAAACAAGTATTTGCATTGTTTCGTGTAGGCTGGAGGGCTTGTATTTGAAGGGGCACGTTCATTAATAGGAAGCAGGCATTAAACCAGCTGGACGACTCCTTGCAAGGTTTGGAAAACATTGCCCGTCGCTATCTGGACATCTTGCGAGCGGTGCCAGCCCATTGACAACATGCTCGCAGCGCGGAGGTTGAAGGAACCCACTCAGGAACGATACTGTAGCAGGACAGCGTCTTCTGGGACAGCCTTTGCAGTTGGCGAAAAGGAACGCCCACATAACAGGGGCATACCAGCCCCCCGTAAATAGAAGACACAAGAAGATACAAGAAGAGACAATGAATACGCACAAGGTTCTTTGCTGCGAGTTTGCGTGGCAACGGAATCTACTCGGAAAACGCACAGATTAACTATGCCATGGGCTTTCTGTAGGCTTGCGATGAGTCATCCTCACCAAGCTCGAGTGGAACCCACACGGGTTGGATGGATGCTGAGAGTGCTGTGGAGTCCCGGCTGAAATCTAGCTGTCCCAGTCCCGAAATGTGCTTTGCAGGACTCAAGTGCCTTCTGCGCTGTGGGCCTGATTGGCTTTATGTGTTTTCATCCCCACGACGCATGCGCGCTGAGGCTGTGACTGCGGCATCAACCATGGACGAGCTTCCAAGCATCAGTTCCACAGTTGGTGCAGCGACTCTGCAGAATTCTGTGATACTAAAAGACCGGCAAGCATGGTTGGACAAACACCGCATCATGCCGCACCAGGTGATGCCCGCGCAGCTTCAAATAATGCTGGCCAAAGGCGCTCGTGTTGTGGCACCTTGGATCATTTTGGCCAGAAGCGTTTTGAAGCTGTTTGCATGTCTTGAAGGAGGTGAGTGCCATGGTTAGTTGGGAGTTCCTGCAATCCAGATTGAACGTAGTAGTGCGTGAATACATGCTTGTGTTGATGGGACGTGTTGAATGCGCACACACCGGCCAACTAGCCAACCCAGCCCAGCAAAAAACCAGCCCTAGGAGAATGAACTTCTAAAACATCCGCTTGATCGATGCGCATTGTAGCGCGCCGCGTGGCCCTTTGCGCGGTCGAGACTTCAAACTCGAGGTGTTTGCCACTTTCTCTAGTCGGCGTCGAGATTAAAAGGCCGAGGTTCTTCCCGAAAGCATCGCGAGGGGTTCTTCCGCACGTCCGCGCGCGGCTCTGGGACGGCTTTTCACAGAGCTATTTGCACAGGGCTATCTGCGCAACGCCCCTTGCGCAAAGCAACTCGCCCAGCCCACTTGCGCAGAGCAACTGGCCCAGAGCCATTTGCCCAGAGACAGTTGCGCAGAGCCATCTGCGCCGAGCTAACTTGCGCAGAGCTGCTTGCGCGGAGCCGCCTGCGCGGAGCTACTTGCGCAGAGGCGAGTAGTCTGGGAACGCGCCCAGTCGGGTGTGAACAGTCTGTGTGAAGAGTCTGGGCAAGAAGCTTGGGTGTGAAAGGTTGGGCGCCTTAGGTCAGGTTCTTGGGCCAGCGTAGAGGTTCCGTGCCGCCATCCATGTATGAACCCACTGCGGACGGTCGAAAAACTGAGGACTTGTTTGACTTCGGATAGCAAGTGGTCCATTGGCAAAACTGAGCGTCTTGTGAACAACCCCACGATCTGTGGGGATCGGCGCGGTCGGTGTGCAAAACAGGACGTTTTACGTATCCGAGGCGTGTGGGCCAGTGTGCAAAAGCAGGACTTTTTGTGATTTCTCTTGTGCGCAGGAGAGCGCCCTTGCGACTTGGTTACTCGTTTTTCGCAATCTGGCCCTTTGAAGTTGTGTCGCGGTTTGCTTGACTGGACTGCTCTTGCAATACCGCGGTCGCAGGTTCGATCCCCGCCATTTCCTCAAGACAAGAACGAAAGTTGCACACAAAGCGCGTTCCCGAAGAAAGTCGCAACTTGCGCAAAGACTCTTGCACAGGGACACTTACGCAGACCAACTTGCGCAGAGCAATGTGTGCTGCGCCACCGGCATAGAGCAGCTTGCGTAGGGCCATTGCGCAGGCGTGCGGCTTGCACAGATAACTTTGCAGACACGCGGAGAGCAACTTGCGCAGAGCAGTCTTGCGCAGAGCAGTCTTGCGCAGAGCAGTCTTGCGCAGAGCAAATTGCAAAGAGTCAAAGTCTGGCCCGCAGAATTGACAGATCAAAAGAGCACAGCCCGTGCCACGACAACAACTTGCGCGAAGGGGCCACAGAGCAACCCCACAGCGCAATGCGCGTATAGCAACTTGCGGGCAGCATCTTGCAGCGGTAGAACTTGCACAAGGCAACTAGCGCAGAGCAACTTGCGCAGAGCGACTTGCGCGGAGCGACTTGCCCAGAGCAACTTGTTCAGGACAACTTGCGCAGGGCAACTTGCACACTTTGCAAGTTGCAAAGGGCAAGTTGCACAGAGCAATTTGCGCAAAGCGACTTGGGCAGATTGAGCAGCTTACGCAAAGCAACTTACGCGGAGAAGCTTGCACGGTGTTTGCAGTTTGCTTCTCCGTTTTGGAGCACCAAGGCTGCGCGGCGTTGACCCAGAAGTTTGCTCCGCGTGTTGTGTGTTGTAATTGTAAATTGGTTGGCACCATGCACGTGTGAAAGCCCCAGCCTGAATAGACCAGACAGCTGCACGGCTTGTCTTGGTGAACCTTGGTGAATTCCCGGGCGAACTGTGCTGCTTGCCTTTGAGGAACGGGCCTGCCATGTGGCACCCACACCTTTAAGACATGACTTTGTGGCATGACTTTGTGACATGATCGCTGCAACGCGGTGCCCTGAAGCAGAGGATGTCCGCGACTTGGATTTCTTCATGGGGCACATTCCTGGCGCCTGGCACTATCCTGACAGCTCCTTTGATGACGAGCTTACAACATTGGCTAAGGACAGCATGGGTGTTCCACTTGATTGCCACACAAGAAATAACGACAATGTGCAGTCTGTGCAAACCCGAGCTGTGGTGAACTGCCTGCGTGCAGACTGAGCCAGAGGAGGAATGTTTGGCAACGTCACATGCAAAAGAAGCCAGCGTGGTCGCAACCAGCATCCGTGTGTCGAACGCTTGGGCTGCAAGTGCTAGTGGCGCAGGACTTGGCTACTTGTGGCAACAAAGTCGTCGTATTCCACTGCATGAACAGTCAGGCGCTATTGGCATGCCTCTGTGCTTTTGGATTTGCAATTGCAGCATCCCTCTCGTTGACAGCACGAGTGAATGATGGACACCGTATTTGAGTGTTTATTTTGCCGCGCGCCTGATTTGCGGCATTTTCCGTACTATGGGCAAGACGAGCCAATGGCCAAGCAAAGCTGTGTCCTTGTCCCGCGCCCGTGGAGGGAACCAAGATGAAGCTTTGATCGGAACAGGTGCAGGGGCCGCGCTGTGCGAGATTGCTTCTGCATCATCTGGAAGAAGCAGATGACGCAAGCCAGTACAAGATTTGCTTCTTGGAAGGCTGGGGACTATGCAAAGCCAGCGTGCCAGCTAACTCTCGCTAGCGCTTGACCCGCTTGAAGCCTGTGTTCTAGGCTGAAGGGATTCTTCAGCATCTCGCGTCATGAAAACGTTACCCCAAGAGCCGTGTGGGCAAGATGAATGTGCAGCAGGCTGCAGGGGTTTACCAATATGTTGTTCCTATTCCATGGAAGAGGGAACTTCCCAGCAGTCCCCAAGTTTACGAAGAGGGGAGAAGATTCATGCACAGGGTCTGTATTCTGCTCCGGCAAACCAGTCCTGGGAAGTGGGCCACCATCAACAATTTGTGGATATTTTTGAAGTTGTTGTTTTTTTGGATTCCCCCCCCCCACGGGGGGCAAAAACAACTTTCAGTTTGAACCACAATAAGGAAAAACTTTGCATTATAACATTGTAATTGGAATGCTGTGCATGTCCTGTGACCTCACTACTTTACACCCGCCGTTTGGCAAAGTAAACCAATATGACGCATGTACAAAGCTGTGGACAGCGCCGGGCAGGCGAGAGTGTCCTTTTTCCTGTGGGATGAACAGCTGCGTATGTCGAAGCCCAGGCAGTTGCCAAGTCGTTCATGAACGGATCCCCGCGCAGCAGCAACAACGACAACAGGAAAAAACACGCTCAAAGAACGTAACTCTAGAAAAGGGTCCTTGTTTGTTTGCACTCGTTGTTGTTTGACTGCGTTCGCGCGAGCTGGTGCCTGCATGCATGCCTGCGTTCCTGCCTGCGGTCCTGCCTGCCTGCCTGCCTGCCTGCCTGCCTGCCTGCTTGCCTGCCTGCCTGTGTGACTGTGCTAGGAAGCTCTTGCCATCACGTACTTCATGTTGGCCGCACCCACCAATTCAGTCACATCGCCCAGTGGCTGTGATACTTGGAGTCAGGCCGTTGAGTGGGTTCATTTTGGGTAAACAGCGCGGTTTCGGATAAACCCTTTTGCGTGCAGCCGCGCGGCTGTGTGTGTGTGTGTGCGCGTGCCTAAGCAGCGTCAGTCTATGCACCATAGCTGAAATTTGCGTTTGAGAACTTTGATTGTTATGCTTAGCGCTCACAATGGTACAAGTCGTCTGGAGATTGAGGGTTGATTTGCACTGGCCAGGTGGTTTCGACGCGTGGCAGGCTTACTGCCGCAGGACAGGAAACCACAAGGGCGCCTTGACAGCAATCAACTGACCCTTTCAGCCACTTAAAACGTCTCTGAGCGCTGGGCTCAAGTTGAGTTTGCGATGCTTCCTTTTCCCGGCTACTTCTTGTTTTGGCCTCTATCCTTTGGGACGTCGAATTGCAGTTGCCTTATTCGCGGACAGAAGCCTACAGAAGGCTTCTACTTTTGCCAGGGGTGCAAGCCAGCAGGTTCTGGGAGACTATGCTGTTTTATTTTCGCTCAATCCTGGGGTCAGCTGGGGATGGGGCTTTGCAAGAGACCCTGTGGAAAGAAGCTCGGGAAACTTCTGGTGATGCAGTGAAGGCTGGCCTGTGTTGGCCTAGCCGCCATTGTGCTGAGAGTGCCTACGCTGCTCTTGCATCTCCGCGCCCAGGCGTATCCATGGCCAACGTCCGGGAGGTGCTTGGACGTCTTGGCGTGTGAGGAATCAAGCCTGCGAGCCTGGTGCCTTCACAGGCTAATTGCACGCATTCAAATTCAAAATCCATTGGTCAAGCTGACGCCGACACAGCCAGTTGTGTTAAAGGGATTCCTGAAACGATTAGTTCTTGTTGGGCTTTTGGCTATGTCAGAAGGGGCAGATGAAGCCCCTTTGAAACAGCTTGACCTTGCTGCCGCATGGCAGAAGTCTATTCTATTCGTGAAGGCATCCTTGCGATTTCAGCGCTGGACAACAGCCCAGTCCGATTGCTCGATGTGGCGCACCACCGATCTTGAATGATCTTGAATGCACTGCTCGCAGTGTTCTCTTGCAAAAAGCCGGGCAGCACCCTAGACTCATGCCGTGTTGGTAGGGGACAGCTGTGGCTTCTTGCTGGTTGTGGCAAGGCCTCGGCAAACCTTTTTGTACGTTTTACTCCAATTACGAGTTGACCGGTTTGGCTTCGGGCACTGCTCAGACGGGTGCCATGCCCCCAAACCTGCCACGGTTGAACGGCAAGCCCGAGCAATGGGAGAGAGAGAATGTGAATGTTTGCTGGCAACATTCGGAACTCCGGCTGTTTTTGCAGGTGTTATGTACCCTTCTCCAATCCCAACGGGTGTGCGGTCGCGACTGTTTGCGGCGATCGTTCTATTTTAGTATCACAGCACTATTGTGCTCACTACATTGGGGGCACGCCCAGGCGTTGACACGTTTGCAGTTGCAGTGAGGTGCACGATGACTGGCCGACTGACCGACCAATGCTTGACTGCTATTGAGTTGGATCTTCAAGACTTTAACTTTTTGGGAAATAAAGGTGTTTCCACTAAACCCCCAAGAAGTTAAACTTTTTGCAGGGGGTTCAAGAGCAACCAAGAATGATGATAATTAGGAGCAATCAGTTTTCTTGCACCTGACTGCCGTTTGCGGAAAGGGCTGCCCCCGAGGCCACCTCCAGGTATCGCCAAAGCTATTTTGCAGCAGGCCACCCAGCCTTGGGTGGTCAGCTGTCAGTAGCATTGCGCTTCACCGCAGCGCCAATAGATGCCAACAGTGCCGAACCCATTGTTGGGAGCCCACACATGTTCAGTGCTCCAGTGACGCTTAGATACATTTTTTGTGCGGCACGCTCTGTTTGCTGAGCACTCGAGGTGCCTGCAATGCTTTCAAGCATGACAAATCACGTTGCGGAGGGGTTTGGGTTGTAGTTGCCTATGAAGAAAGGGTTGAATTGAAAGAAGTGTTCTCATTTTTCTTGCCGTCACTCGAACCCCCCCATTGCTGCGACGCATGGACAAGGATCCATCAGACCATATTTTTTGCCAGTTCAATGGTGACCGGGCAATAGTCACTTTTGCTGAGAATACCCTCGTTCCGACAACATCAGTGCCAAGGGAAATTTGCGTAGACGGCCTTGGCAAGCCATAGTCACCCGCAGCCACAACAGAGTTTACCCTTGATATCTCCAGACTGCGGGACGTCTTGATGAGCATACTGAGGCAGAGAAAGTTTTCACGGTGTATTCCAGCAATGTGTTGCTTCCTTTTCAAGCTTCAGCCTCCAACTTTTATAGTTAGTAGTTCCCACCAATTAGCATGGAACTGAGGGGGTACCTTTAAAAGGACAATGGTCTTCCAGGACCCTGCTGTCAGGTTCCATGTTAATTGCTGGGTATCATTCATCATGTGTGGTTCTTACTTGCCTGGCTGCCTGCCAGGCATGCGGAACGGAGGCGGTGACTGAGGCTTGAAGCCAAGGAGTGGCCGGGAGTGGCTATGTTACGATGCCATCCCATACTAGTTCCTCACCTTAGAATGTCACAACTCCGGAGATAGGATTACATAGGATTACATTGCATGTCAGGTCATCAACGCAAAGAAATTGCGCATCCCAGAGGAACTGGGAAAGCTCTTTGTCAGTCACGTCGTGGGTGTGCCTACAGCCTGGCACCGCCACCACCAGCAATATCAACATCCGCAAAAACAGTCATGGCGCTACTTGTTGCTAACATGTTGCTTGCTGCAACTTGCTGCCTCCCGCCACATCAAACAATTACAAGAGCAACAAACGAAAGAGACTATGGAAATCAGATCTGGAAGCCAAGGCATTCACAGCCAAGGCATTCAAAGCACAGCCGACAAGTACTGTAGTTGTTCCCACTTCTGCAGCTGTTTGCATTTGTTGCAGCCACTCTCGCTGGATTTTGGATCCGGCATATCTTAATGGTTGGTTTGGTCATTTGCATCCTGGATTCAGATTTGGGGTGGCTAAGATTGTGGCTTTTGGGTACGCGGGAGACGGGCTACACAACAGCTGTTCCCAACGTGTGAAGCATTTGTGTTTATAATTGGCGTCAGTATTTGACGCACAAGCACCGTGCACCAGTCCATGAACAAATTGACAAGTTGATATGTGGTGGACAAGAAAAGCTAATGTTACAAGATGTGACAAGAGGAGAACTTAATACAAGAAACTAATATGAAAGCAATGGTGTAAGCAAACAGCTCAATGTAGAAGCACACGGGCGAAGTCCTGAGTTATAGCATGAACAAAACCAACCAAGTCAATCTAGTTTCAGCCTTCGGACAAGTTGTGTCCGTGCACCACAAGCGTTCCATGGCTTGCTCCCTAAACCTGTCACTTCCGCTGCGTGCACGTGTTTTGAATGATCATCGTTTTCATGCTGCGATGGTGGAGAGCAGGCTCGTCTCCGCGTGGTAGGCTGAGGAAGAAAGGCAAACAACAACAGAGAGAGAGTGTGCCTATTGAGCCCTGCACGTCTCCAAGCCGTCGTGTTTGCTCCATGTGTGCTGCGATGACAGGAGCTTCCAGTTTTGACACTGCAAACTGTCAACTTAATTTTTAATGCTTCACGCATATTCGGTACAGAGGGAGCGCGCCTTCGAACATGTCAAAGCGCAGGCACACTGCACGTTTGCGACCAACAACCGATGTGTTTTTGTTTTTGTTTTGCTTCCTGAACATCGAACCATTCATGATTCTGGAGCTGCTTGCGTTGTGATTGAGGTACTTGAGTTAAAGCATCATCTCGTGGAAAACGCGACATTGCAGGGCATCTTGTCCTTGACTGTGGGATGCTGCGTGTGGTCAACACTAAATGTATCCGCATTTTAATTTGACACTTGGCCGCTAGTCAAGCCTTTTGCAAAAGTATTGTTTCTGCATGGAAGTGCAAAACTTGTTTTTGCAAGGATCTGAAACAAGCTTGGCATCGGAGCTTAAAGGAAATCTGCACAGAGCAGCTGGGGCTGCGATGTCCATTCAAAATCCTTGGTCCGAAACAATGCGCTATGCAGTCAGGAGCCTGCGCACTTGAATTCCCTCCCAGACCTCTGGAGCCAGGCGGCGTTTTTGTTTGCACCTTGGCACGGCAGGGAATGATGGCAGGGAATGATTGAGAAGCATGGCAACGGCAAGAGGTGCTGCTCATTTACACCTGTAAACCAGAAAAACTGCCCGCAGGTGGCTTCAGGCTTCAAAGGCAGTGGCAAGTTTTGATGCGTCGATTCTTTCTGCCACCGAGTCCAAAGCTTTGCATGCAGAGAGAGCTCTCGCTCAGGACGTGCGTGGCGAGGGGTGCAACTTGTGCCAACGCTATTGTCCAGTTTTCTGGGTGAAGGAGTCCACCCAAAACCGTGCAAACGACTCCTAGGGGCGGTCGCACGCATGGCTGGAACTGTTTGTGACACCACTTCATGGCGTGCACAGTGCTTCCTAGCTTGGCTGCGCTCAAGGCTGCAAGGCCTTCTATTTGCAGGACGGCCAAGCAATGTCAATCAGTTTCAGGTCTTCTATGTTCTGCGAAGCTAATTACAGATGTTGACATCAGCACAGCTGCAAACCTTCCCTGCTGAGCCATGTCGAGAGCGCTTACTCTCGCGACTTTGCTGCTGCGAGCAGTTGCTCAAAGCAATGACTCCGAGATTCTGGAACAAGCAAATGCCACCGTGAACAGGCACTGTCCGGTGTCACTGCCCGAGATCGATCACCAGTCAGAACGGATCGCATTGCAACTCATGGCGGGCCCAGAGAACCAGGTCTACGGTGCAGTTCTGGAAGCAACTCAGTCTTTGCAAAGTGGCGACTCCTCAGCACAATTGACCACATCCTTGAAGGAGTCTGTGGACCCGTATTTTGCCGCAAGGCAGGCTTTCCCCATCATCCTTTCCATTATCCTCCTGGGGATATGGCCCTTTGGCTGTTGGTTTGTGTGTCCCTGCTGCACGCGCAATTGCTGCTGTTGTTGCCAGAGAAGGTGGGGGTGTGGAGGCAACATCGCCTGCCACGCATGTGGCTCGGATGGCAACAGTGGCAGTACTTAGCGAGGCCAAACTTGCCAGATAGGCTTCCGGGGAGCCATCGATCCATCGGGGTTGAGAGATGTCAATATCAGGTCCAAATTCCCGGGTCTCAGCTCTGAAAGAGCCGTATTTCCCTAGCTGAAGCTTTCGGGAGGGGTTCTAGCTTCTAATAAAGATGGGAAAGTGATTTGCAAGATTGACGGCACATGCAGTTTGGGGTGCTTGTGCAGATGCTGTTTGGGCCGGTGGTGACGGTGTGGGCACGTTTTTGCGAGATCGACGGCCGGGTGCTAGGGGGCCATGCAGTTTGGGGTGGTGGTGCAGGTGCTGTTTGAGGTGCTAGTGACGGTGTGGGCGCATTTTTGCAAGGTTGAGGGCAGGGTGCTAGGTGGCATGCAGTTTCGGGTGCCGGTGCAGTGCTGTGCATGTTTATTAGTTTGGTGGAAGTGCTGTTGGAGGTACTCAGCCGGGTGCTAAGCAGTTTGGGGCATGCAGTTTGGGGCATGCAGTTTGGGGTGCTCATGCTGGTGCTGTAGTTGGGGGTACCAGGTAGGTGTTGTCAGACGCTGGTGATTTAGCATTAGGGGGAAGGGATTATGCTGGTGTAATTGGTCATGTTTGGTCCATTTGTGGGTCAAAGAATGTCAGCCCAGGTCTGTGGATGATCTTCTTGTGCCTCACGGTTGCTGCCTTGGTCCTGGCCCTCTTGAGCCTTCAGGGCTTCCACGAGGTGGACGAGGGGGTGCGCGGCACCGCCTGCTTTTCCGCGCAGCTGGTGCAGGCGCCGGCTGTACGCTCGGCGGTGTGGGTTCCATTTTTGGTCAGTAGCGAATCGACGGTATTTGACCTTGTCCGGTATTCCCAACTTTGGTCCATAGTCAAGGTTCCAGAAAATGAACCTGTTGGTTCCAGTGGGCCGAGTTTTTGGACTGCATTTACCCTGGGCGGCTGTGCGTCAATCAAAACCCCATCCAAACGGGTGCGTGCGGCCGCCGTTCCATTCTTTGCATGGTTCTGGGTAGGTCATTTTATTACCAGGTTTTGATCATGAATGTAGTCCAATTAAAGCAAGGGGATATTCCTGGGTTCAGTTGCAAGCCCCGCTTGGGTTTGAAGTCCCTCTTTCGGCGTTGCTCTTTTGCGGTGTTGGGAAGCACCCAGGGATCCCCAGACACTGCGCCGTCTCGGCACCACTGGGAATCAGGCCCCGATATGGCGATGCCCGTTAGGACTCCATCGCGGGCAACGAGGATTTGAACTTCATAGGTTTGGTGCCGGCCGTGGAGAGACTGGAGACCATAGCCAGCGTCTTAGCAGAGGACTCGGACTTCATGCGGGAGCTCAAAGGCTTGCTGGACCGCACTGTGGAGATCGAGCAAGCTGCAGGCCTCTTGGCGGAGATGATGCGGGTTATGCAGTTCTTGCTGGGCGAGCCTCAAAACCAAGCGCCCGCGGGCTACATGCACAAGTGCCAGATTTGCGCGCCTTTGGCCGAGCTCTTGGAGACGGTGATCGCTCTCTTTGAGGGAGGTGTGGGCGTTGCACTGGCAAACGTGAGGACCACGGTGAACTCTCAACTGCAAGGCCCCGCGGTGAGGGAGATGCACCAATCCATTCAGGGCACGATGGCACCCATCCGTGAGGCCAAGAACCAGCTACTGGACCAGGCGGGATCTGAAAACCAAGGCCGAACATGGCCGACTTGTTTTTGCTTGTGGCCAGGTGGGCTTCTTTGTGAAGCAGGCAGAGGACGGCTTCCATCAGACCTCAGACTACGTGAATGGCGACGGTGGCCTTTTGCTTCCTGCCCTGGCAATCGTTGTCGCCGTGTGCTTTGTGATGTTCCTGCAGGGCGTGGCTGCTCTTGGCAGCTTCGGGTGTTGCCACCAGAGAGGCAAGGCCGAGGATCATGTATGTGTTCGCTGCTGCAGCTGCTGCGGCATGTGCAGCGCCTACTTTTGGGCTGCGCTCCTCTTCCTGCTTGGGGGCATCCTATTGATCGGGGTGAGCATTGGGAGCGGTGCCTGCCTGGTGATGATCGACTTTGACCAGCAGATGGGCGAGAAGCTCCTAACAGCGCTGGGAACACCAATCGACGACACGGTCGAGATGGCCTTGTTCCTTGCTGATAGGTGCATGAGCTTGAACGGCAATACCTCGGCCAGCAGCAACCTGGCGGACATCATCGAGCTCCCAGCCAGAAATCCATCCTACCCGGGTGAGAGGACGACGGTCCGTGCTGACGTCATAGATTTGGTGATCCTGCCGATCCAGCAGAGCTTCGCCACCTTGGACCAAGCCTTGGGCACTCAGCCGCCCGCCGTAGCCAACATCTCGGAGTTGACGCGCCTGCGCGAAGTGATCGGATCAGTCAACATGAAAGCATTGTACTGGCCCATTCCGGTGGAGGTGGACAACCACCCAGTCTACTACAAGATGCTTGAGGCTTACTACATAGCAGGACTGCAGTGCCCAACTTTGGCATTAGACATCAGCTTGCCAGACCCCTTGGGCAATGTGAAGGTGCCGGGCCTGAATTCCATTGCGGTGGAGGGGTTTAGCGCCCAGGGCTACCTACTGGTACCCTCCCTGTCGCATGACATGGCCTCAGCCAACTGGACCTGCCCCGTCGCCCTGCAGGGCGTTTGCGGCACCGCTGCAAGCTCAACCACCCTCTTGACCGAGCGCTGCCTGGCGGGCAAGGCCTTTTTGGAGGAGAAGAAGCTGCCTTTGGCCACCGAGGCGGTCTTCAAGTGCAGACACTTCCAGGACCCTGGAGGCACCCCAGGCACCAAGTGCGACATCACCAGCATGCACAAGGACAGCAACGGCACTTGGCACACCTGCCTCTACCCAAATGGCAGCATCGCCACCTTTGACGTGGACTGTACCCTGGACGAGTTTGAGCAAAACATGCGGGATTTCGACCTGGGCTTTTTGCGAGCATTCCAGTACCTTGATGACATTGTGGCGTCTCTCTTGTCTGGCGTGAGCGTGGATTTGAAGAGGCTGGTGACGGTCCACATCATCGAGCCTTTGCTCAGCCTGCTCGGTTCCTTCGACTGCAGCTTCATGCGGAGCTTCTGGCAAGGCCTCACAGATTCCTTGTGCTACCGATCGGTCAAAGGCTTCGGCATCCTGGCGACCAACTACGTCTGGCTGGGCATCCTCTACCTCGGAATCTCAGCCCTGATGTTTGTCCCCTGGCGCATCTCCCGGGACACCAAGGACAGCTACGTCACAGCGGAGCCGGCCCAACATTGATGTTTGTCTACCCTTGAAACCTTTGCTGGGAACCCTTGAATCATTGCCCATCATGTGTTTGTGTACCTTAGTCTCGCCTTAGCGTGTTTCAACTGGCGGCCACAGCTGCCTGTTCCAACATCATCGCATTGTGTCACGGCGCTTTTAAACACAGGGCCTGCCCTGAGTCGAACATTCGGAAAGTTTGCATGTCACCGAAACGGCGTATGCAAACGTATGCGACTGAATCTCCGCGAAGCGGTGCTGTACAGGATCCAGACTCCATTTCGCCCAGGCATGTCAGCACGTTGCGTTGTGCTGAGCCGATTTGAGCAACGTCTAAAACCTCCATGCGCGTGTTTAGCGAGACCGTGTCATACCCGTTGCGCAATCAACACCTCCAAGGGCATAAGGTGTCGCAAGCAGATAAGGGAGCCGCGATGCGTAAGCAGTCATTACTTGTTACATGTCCATGTGTACTGCACTTGCGTTGAACAGTTGCAATTTTCGATTTACAGCTGCCAAAGTGCACTTTGCTTGCTGCATTTGCAAAGGAAACGCCATTGTGCAAGCCGCCTTTCCAGTAATTGCAGGCGGTGTTCCATGCACAGGGGTTGCATAAGGCCTACGTGCTCCAAAGTCGCATCGCTTTGGCATGCTTTTGCACGCATTTGGTTTCGTCACACGTCCTGCACTCTCCTTGTTCTCATCTCGTGGCTTTAAGCTAGTCAGCCGGATGCTAGTCAGGCCAGCAATTCCAGCCAAGGCTGGTGCCTCAGACTGTGGGGCTGGCATTCATTCGCCCTGTTCATGTCAACTATTTGCGCAGTGCATGCTGAGCATTGCCAAAACAGGTGATAGCTGTGACTACTTGGGTTGTAGCTAAGTTGGCAGGATTTCCATTCCAACAAGCAAGCCACTGGGAATTACGTGGGCAGGACACTTTCCGTGATTCGTGGGTCTGAGACTTGTTCTGTCCAATGGAACCTTCTATGGGTCGGTTTCATGCTGCCAGCGGCCTAGTTGCCTTGGGCAAGTGAGCAGGTGGCTAAGGGGGACCAACTACAACTCGCTTGAGATGCGATTCGCTTGGTGCAAGTTTTCCAGCTAGCTGCGCCAGAGAAAGGCTGCAGAACGAAAAACAGATTTCGGGCCCTTGAACCCACTAAGACCCCGGAGGCTGGCATTTGTTGGCAGGCCTCCTGGCTAAAGACAGGAACGTGAGCAAAGGGATGCGACACCGTCACCAAGCTGCATGTTCCTGAATCCTGTTTCCTTTTGACATCTATTCTCCTGTATCCATTCAATTTCTGGCCTAGCCTGGGCTAGCCTAGTCCATTGGCCACTTGAGAGGTGACTGAGAGGTGACTGCCACGTATGCTTGTGAAGGTAGATGCTTGCTTCAGTAAGGTGTATGTAGCTGACAGTGCAACAATGGTCTGCTTTCAGGCATGCGCCGCGCCCACAATTTCTCAGCCCTTGGCAACACATGCGGTGAGAGCTATAAAAGCAGCTGTGATTCAGAATGAGTTGCAAGGACGGACAGGGACCCTTCCAACACACCACGCAAACAAAAGCGCAACAGTACACACAGAGCTTCTGCAGGCTCCAGCTTGCTGGCGGTAGAAGGTAGGCAGTTAACCCCCCCCCCCCCCACCCCACCCCACCCCACCCCACCCCACCCCACCCCACCCCACCCCACCCCACCCCGCGTTGTTACAGCCAGATTGGGTTATCGCGTCACCATGGAGAGCGAGCTGAAAGCTGCCCTGGTTTCGCCAGAGAAGCGCTTGCCGCCCACATTGCGAATCATCCGGTTGCTTGCCGCTTGCCCGGCAATGTCACAGAACTGCAAACACGCAACCAGCAAGAGTTCTCCGCCAGTGCTTTCTACTGCAAGGGCCTGGCTCACAGGTTGCTTAGGGGAAGTGCACTAGGCTTGGTGGAAAAGTCGGTGACGGCGCGCTGTGACTGGCTTGCACATAAGGCCAATGGCATATCTGGGACTCTGGCCCCTTTGCTGTGGCTGCTCGATGGCGCGTCTTGCCGACCCATCCAGGACAGCTGGTCATGCCAGCATGCTTTGCCCAAAAAGCCACCCAGCTGTGCAGGTCAACGAGCACTTAGACGGGATTGAAGTCATTGCGAAGGGCCTTGACAATCCCAGAAGAGCCTTGCTGTACCTGCATGGAGGTGCTTCTTGCATTGTATGCCCCTGGGAGACTGGTACGGCGCTTCAATATAATGTGTTGGAAGCTTTGTTGGCAGAGAGCTTGCGCTGCTCAAAAACTTGGGGATGGAAGGGTTCGCCAGCCACATGCCCCAGGTGCCCATTTCTTTGGCTCAGTGTGGACTCATCGCGAGTTCCTAGCTCCTGGGCCGCACTGTTGTACAAGGAGTTGTGGAGACGGCAGCTGAAAAGCACAAAGTGCCTTGCCAAGCTCAGGGGCGAATCTCTAATGCCTGGGGTACACGGGTGGTGGCCATCAACTACCGGCTCAGCCCAGAACATGCATTTCCAAGTAGCCTCGAGGATACCCTCACTGCTTCTTGGCATGCAGGGCTGGGCCTTGAAGAGAATTGCAACTGTGCTCCCAGTTGGAGGCCGTAGCGTGATGTCACGGGGTTCCTTCTTCGGAAAGGGTTTGACTTTAGAATGCATGCAGGCTTGGACGTGGATGCTGGCACCTTGGATTTGTTGGGCGGCGCGCGTGCGTGCGTGCGTGCGTGGGTGCGTGCGTGCGTGCGTGCGTGCGTGCGTGGGTGGGTGGGTGGGTGGGTGGGTGGGTGGATGGGTGGGTGGGTGGGTGGGTGGGTGGTGGGTGGGTGGGTGGTTGGGTGGGTGGGTGGGTGGGTGGGTGGGTGTGTGGTGTGTGTGTGTGTGCGCGCTTGTGTGCGTGTGCGTGTGGTGTGTGCGTGTGTGCGCGTGTGCGCGTTGTGTTGTGTTGTGTTGTGTTGTGTTGTGTTGTGTTGTGTTGTGTTGTGTTGTTTTGTGTGTGTGTGTGTGTAAGTGTGTGTGTGTGTGAGAGAGTGTGTGTGTGTGTGTGCGTGCGTGCGTGCGTGCGTGCGTGCGTGCGGGTGTGTGTGTGTGTGTGTGTAAGTGTGTGTAAGTGTGTGTGTGTGTGTAAGTGAGTGTGTGTGTGTAAGTGTAAGTGTGTGTGTAAGTGTGTGTAAGTGTGTGTAAGTGTGTGTAAGTGTGTGTGTGTAAGTGTAAGTGTGTGTGTGAGTGTGTGTGTGTGCGCGTGCGTGTGTGTGTGTGTGTGTGTGTGTGTGTGTGTGTGTAAGTGTGTGTGTGTGTAAGTGTGTGTGTGTGTGTAAGTGTGTGTGTGTAAGTGTGTGTGTGTAAGTGTGTGTGTAAGTGTGTGTAAGTGTGTGTGTAGGTGTGTGTGTGTAGGTGTGTGTAAGTGTGTGTAAGCGTGTGGGTGTGTGTGTGTGTAAGTGTGTGTGTAGGTGTGTGTGTAGGTGTGTGTGTGTGTGGGCAAGTGTGTGTAGTGTAAGTGTGGGTGTGTGTAACTGTGTGTGTGTAGGTGTGTGTGTGTGTGGAAATGTGCGTGTGTGTGTGTAACTGTGTGTGTGTGTGTGCAAGTGTGGGTAAGTTTGTGTAAGTGTGTGTTTGTGTGTATGTGTGCCTGTGTCTTTGTCTGTGTCTGTGTCAATGTCTGATGTGTCTGGGTTGGTGTCTGCGTCTGCGTCTGTGTCTGTTTCTGTGTGTCTGTGCGTGTGTGCGTCTGTGTCTGCGTCTGTGTCTGTGTCTTTCTGTGTGTCTGTGTGGGTGTGTGTGGGTGTGTGTCTGTGTCAGTTTGTGTCTGTGTGTGTTTGTGTGTCTGTGCATGTGTGTGTTGCTCTGTGTGTGTCGCTCTGTGTGTGTGTGTGTCGCTCTGTGTGTGTGTGTGTCTGTGTGTTTGTGTCTGTGTCTGCATATGTGTGTGTGTGTCATTGTGTGTGTCTTTGTGTGTGTGTGTGTGTTTCTGTGTGTGCGTTTGTGTGTGTGCTTGTGGGCGCGTGCGTGTGCTTGTGCTTCACATGCGTTGTGCACGTGAGAATGTGCGTTCGTGCAGAGCTACGATTCCTGTTTTCGAGTGTTTGCCTAGACTGCAGCTTGCCCATTCCTCGGCCCGTGCTGAGGAGCAGTATCCAGGCCCGTGCCTACCCTGAGCACTCAAATGATGTGAATGAGGTGTTGCTAACACTTGGCTTGGTTTCACCATCACCAACAAAAGACTTTTCGTGCCCCGTTGCAGGCCACGAGGTGGCTGTGGCCGGGGACTCCGCAGGCGGAACTTTAGCCTTTGGGCTCTTGGTGCGTCTTGCGCAGCTGCAGCGCTCGCAGCCGCAGCTCTGCATCGGCATCTCCCCTTGGCTTTGCCTGGAACAAGTGCCGCGGATCTTCCGACGCATCAGCAGGCGCACAGCCTTCAGTGAATGGCGCTGTGCCATGATTGCAGCGTAACTATCAATTGCTCAGCTTTTAGGCCTTCATTTGCACATGGGCGCCCCACATGTATACACTACGCTGGTGGTAAAAGCGCATTATGTCCCTCCCGGGTCTACGTGGTTGAGCCTCGATGTCTAGAGTTGTTCTTGTTCACTACTCCTGGACTTCACCCAACACACGCTCAACATGCAAGTGAGCTGACGGCAACCCAAGATGAAAGTATCGTTTCTGGGCCCAAAGCATGACTTGCGAAGGCTTGCTAACTGTAGGCGCAAGCGTCGCGCAATCCCTGCAGGATGTATGCACAAGGCCATGCTGTCAGAGATCCTTTGGTGTCCCCGTTGCACGTTGACGCGGAGGTGGCTAAAAGTTTCCCCCCGGTCATCATCCATGCAGCCGAAGAAGAGTGGTTTACCAAAGATGCCGAGGGCATGGCTTCTTTGTGTCAGAGGGTAGGAGTTGCAGCTGATCTGAAGCTGTACACTGGAATGATCCATGGTTTCCAGGTGTTTCCCTTATTGTTTCCTGCGAGTTCTCAGGATTCCTTACAGCGAATTTGCTCATTCTGGGACCAGTTGGCAGGAAGAAAATCTTGCCTGTGACTGCTTGCCAGCCACGACTTTTACAGTTCTAGAATTCGCTTCTCTCGCCTGGCTTCTGAGCAATGCCTGCGTGTTGGCTGACAAAGCTTCGGCTGGCGCCCGGTCTTTAAAATTGGAGAGGGTGCCATGGTTGAAAGCTTGTTTGCGCTTGCTTGCGCATGCGCGCATGCGGCATCAGTGAGGCACAATTTCCCCGGATGCTCAGCTCTTTGCGCCGCTCTGAGCAGCTGTTTTGCTCAGAAAATGGCAGCGGGCGCCTTCGGACCGGACGGTGAGGTGTGACATGGCCCGAGTTTGCGGGGAGTCCGAAAACATGAGGCAAGTTGCACGCAGGAGCCCTGAGCAGGCCCAGCTAAGCGCTAAGGTTCGAGGACTCAGCCCGTGTACGACTTGCGGGTTGGGTTTCTGTGTTTGTCTCCAAATGCCCAATGGCCAACACGGAATGCAGAGGCTTCGATTTTGCATTGGCGGGCCAAGTGGTTTCGGAAGGTTTGATGGGAAGAGACATGTTTAAACGCTTGGCCGGCTAAGGACACATGTCGCTTCACGATGGCAAGCAAGCCACCGCAGTGCTGCAAACCTTACAGCGCGAACAAGGCGCGCGAATTGCAATGAGGGGAGTCATTAATTCATGGTCAGTGCTCGCGCTCTCCGGTCATCAGCAGTGGGCCCCGGAGTTTGTGAGACAACCCAACCCAACCCGCAAACAAACGCACAGACGAACAAGGAAGCAAACAGAAAAACATCTATCCGGCCCGAGCCAGGCGCCGGCGCCGCGGCACGCGCCTTGCGTGCCATGGAGATGAGGCAGTTGAAGGCGCGCGCTTCTTACAGCTGTCACGGCAGGGGCGAATTTATCTCCGTCTAAGCGGGAAAAAAGGCATGACCACTTTGTGGGGTGGGATCTACATTGCAAATGCCAAGCGAGCATTCCTTTGGAACTTCGCTGTGTAGCTGTTTGAGCCCAGTGAAATGCATGAAGGGCAT